CCCGGGTGCCTCTCGGTCCCGTATGTGGAGGCTGTGCATTGTGCGGGGCTGTATGGAGTGGTGGCAGCTATTGTTCAGGAGGGATTTGGCATCCTGTGTTTCTTGAAGTTGCAGTTTTAAGAACAATGAGGTTTCCTGCACGGGCTGGGGGGGGGCAGTGCACCCTTCCTCTCCTGCACCCCGCAGGAAAAGTTACTGAGGCAGGGGGCCCAGGAGGTCCTGGCACTGCTTGGTGCCATGGCTGGCACAGGGGCCAAGTGGGAGAGGGGTGTGTGTAAGGACTTTGGGTGCTTTCTGCCTGGATGAGGGGCTGGCCCTGCTGCTGTTGGGTCTGGAGATGGTGCCTTGGTAGGTGACAGCTTGGGGACGTTGGCTGCAGTGTCCCATCCCACATGCACCACTGTAAACTGGGCGCTGCCCTCATGCCTAGTGCCCTGCACTGGGGATTCTGAAGGCTGATCCATGGTTTCTCCTTGTCACACAGACATGGCATTTTCTTGTCCCCCTTCTTTCCTGGCCTGTCCCCTCCACGACTTGGCTGGCACCTCTGCTCTTCTCCCCTGCAGCCCTTGGCAAGAAGGCCATGCAGGAAGGGTGCAGCTCCCCTCCAAGAAATGCAGATGAAGTAAAAAGATAAAGGCTTTAAATTTGTTTGTTTTAATTGAAAACATGTTACGGAGGGTCTAGGGGGGGATGTGGGGAACCTGTGAGGCCTCAATAGTCCCTAGAAGGTGACTTGCAGGGCTATGTGTCCCTGCCCTGGTCCCCAAGGTGCCACGTGGTCCATCCACACCAGGAAAGTTACAGAGATATCGGTAAGGAGAGGCCAGGGGAAAGATGCCTCATTAGGATGAAGCCTTTCAGTGCGGGCCAGTAAAAAACAATTGTCCCTGCGGTCTATTTATAGCGACAGAACCGGAGGATTAGTTGTAGGGTTATTTTTGGAGCAGCTGAAGGCAGTTGCTGGACGGCGTTTCTGAGCTAATCAAGCAAACATCTTCTGTCTCGCCTGTGCAGACTCTGTGTGTCCCCCACCTCCACCATCCCCCTCCCTGTCCCCTGCTTCCCTGTCCCCCTCTGGCAGGGTGGGTGAGCCAGAGCAGGGGGTATCTCAAGGTGGATAAGAAAGGGCTTGTGATGGAGTTGTCTTGGGCAGCCTTGGATGGTCTCCTGCGGCCCGGGTTCAGCTCGTACCTCGGCAGCTGCCTGAGCCCTCCCCGAGCACCTGAGGGTGGTGCTGTGTGGACCCTGTGTCAGTTGAGGGTGTCCTCCTCCACACACAGCCCTGACCCTGTCCCACCCCAGCAGTGATGTGTCCCCGGGGCCACAGTGACCACGGGCACCTTTGGCCCCGAGCTAATGGGCTAAGATCCTTGTCCCCCAGCTGTCCCCTCCTCATTAGCGGGTCACCCATCCCTTAACCCTTTGCTCAAGGCCTGCCTGACCCCTTGGGCCAACTGAGCTCTGTCCCCCCCGGCAAACACAGGGCAGGCTGTCCATTAGTGAGAACTTGCCTTCCCACTTCTTCATCCCTTTTGTTTTTCCTTTTCTTTTCTCCTTTTTCAAGCCCCAAAGGTTGCTTGTAGCCCCATCCCTGGGAACATGCCCTCCTCCCCTCCCATTCAGCCTTCCAGCAGACCTGGGCTCTCCCCAGCAGCCTCCCGGCTTAGGACCAAGCGAGCACGGGCGGGCGGGTTAACCAGCGCAGCTGTATGCTAATGTCCACCGCGGCCGCTTAACTCCCCTCTGCTGAGTAAAGTCAACCCCGCTATTGTGCCCACCTCCTCAAATGAACCACAAAACCCCAGTGCGTTCTTGGGGCTGGCCGGCTGTGGGGTGGCACCCAATTTCCAGCTCACTTGTAATGCATCGGCCCTAGTGCTCAGGCTCCATCGTATGTATCCCCCCTCTGCCGCCTCCTCCCTCCTCTCCCCCACCCCAGCCCTTTTGTCTTTCTTCCTTTGCCCTTTTGTACACGTCTGGTTTTTAATAGCGCTTGGCAGCTGGTTGTGGTTTCTCTCCTCCAGCTTTGTTTGCTGTCCGCTGATTGATGGCGAGGCCTTTCCCACCCCTTGCTCTCTTCTGGGCTTCTGCCCTTCCCCAAATCCCAAGCCAACAGCACCCCTACCTCCCAGTCCTCCTTCCCAGACAGCATATGCCAGGAATTATCTGTGTAAACAGGGGCATACAGGTGGACGGGCAGCTAAGGTGCCTGGGGAGGAGGTGGGGTGCTGCCTGGCACTGTGGGGACCATGCTGGGGTGGGCAGTGAGGGACTGTCCCCCTCTTTGGGGCTGGCAAGAAGCACCCACCGGCTCCAGCTCACCCACTGTGGGGGTGCACCAAGAACAGAAAAGAGCTGTGAGGGTATCACAGAGGCGGCTGATGACAGCCACGTGCTGTTGACACAGGTGGGGACGCTGTTGGCAGCCGGCACGGTGGGCAAACACACCTGCCTGGGCAGGGCGAGCTGCTGAGTGAGGGCTCTGGCATGCCCAGCCACACGTGCCGGCTGAAGCCGTGGCTCAGATCGATCCACGCTCTGCACACGCTTTCCACCACCTGTTCCTCTCCATGCGCCCGCCCCATGCAGGGGACAGCCCTCGTGTCACCCAAAATCCCTCTGCCTGCTGCTGCCCTGCGGAAGAGGCAAGAGTATGGGGATGCCCAGCGAGGGTACTGGAGTTTGCACCCTGGTGAGGTCCCTGTGCTGTGTCCAGCCCCCTTCTTGGTCTGAAGCCGTGTTGCTGGGATGCCTGTCACCCTGGTGCCACTTTGGGTTTTGGCAAGGGGGAAGAACTCACCGCTGACATCTTGGGGGGACTGATCCCTGATGCTGCCCAAGGGTGCTGAGTTGCATCCAGAGCCACATGGCTTCTCAGCCCCTTGGTCCTAAAAGATGCCTTGTCTTCTCTTTCAGACCTTCATCTTCACAGATGGGGAGGATGAGGAGCTGAAGAAGCAAGCACGTGAGTCTGTGGCCCTTGTCTTTTTGAGTGCATGACCTGCCAGGTCCCCTGAGAAGCATCCGTGCAGGCACCATGGCTGGCATGGAGCCTGCCCCAGCAACTCTGAAAAAATTGCCAAAATGCCACCTGTTAAACGTTAGTTTCAGGAGCCCTCTCCATAGGGATCTGGGCTGAAATTGAGGCAACTTGTTTCACTGGTTGTACCTAAAGCACCCTTTGCCCAGGAGCCCCACGTGGGGGCAAGTTTCCTTCCCAGTCAGCTCAGCCCATCTGCAGTGATGCTGCTGGGGAGCACAGCAAGTGGGTGCCTTTGCACCAGTTTGTCCCTGGGAGCTGGATTGATGGCCGAGGAGGAGGCCAGGGTTTCATGGGAGCATTTCCCTGGCAGCCCTTCCCCGGGGCCAGGGTCAGCGTGGTCTATTCTTCCCATGCAAATGACTCCTTTTCAGGCCGGGAAGCGATTGCCTTTGAGCTGGGCAAGCAAATAACAGGTGGCCGCTGTGGGAAAAGGCAGCACAGCAGGAACAGGGCAGGATTTTTGGCTATCAAGTCCTGGAGACAGCAGCTTACAGACACCCTTTCACTCCCAGGGTGGCTGGTACAGGGCCCTGGGATGGGCAAGGTGATGCAGGGTGGCATCATGCATAGCACATGGGATGTGGCTCAGCCCTGGTGCATCTGCTGCATCCTCATCCTGTGCTCAGCCCTTCCCTTATTTCACATGGACCTAAAAGCCATTCCCTCCTAAAAAAAAAACCCATTCTTTGCCCAAAACGACGTGTCACAGTGGTGGCCAAGCATCAGGGACATCCATGGGGTTTCCATCCCCCTGGCATGCCCGGGGTGTCTGTGATAAAGCATCACCATTTGACTGCGTGGGAGCCCCGATGCCAGGCTTTGACCCCTGTCTGTTCCTGCAGGAAATGTCATCAACACCAACTGCTCGGCTGCCCACAGCCGCCAGGCCCTGTCCTGCAAGATGGCCGTGGAGTACGACAAGTTCATCGAGTCTGGCAGAAAGTAAGCAGTGCCTGGGGCTGCTGAGGGAGACAGTGGGGATACAGGGTGGGGGGTACAGTGCAGAGGCTGTTTGCATTTTTGGGGCCGTATCTCAGCGTATGGTCTGGGGAGCTGCCTTGGCCCGGTGTGACACTGCTGCCACCGTAGGTGGTTCTGCCACGTGGACGATGACAACTATGTGAATGTTCGGACACTGGTGAAGCTGCTCTCCAGCTACCCCCACACGCAGGACATCTACATTGGGAAGCCCAGTCTGGACCGGCCCATCCAGGCCACGGAGAGGATCAGCGAGAACAAGATGGTATGGTGGGGACAAAAGGTGGGGCTGGCTTAATTTGGGCTGGGGTTTGCTCCCCGGTTGGCAGGAGGAGGTCTCACTGCCATTGCTTCCCCTCTCTCGCAGCACCCTGTGCATTTCTGGTTTGCCACGGGCGGAGCAGGGTTTTGTATCAGCCGGGGGCTGGCGCTGAAGATGAGCCCGTGGGCCAGGTAAGAGCGTTGGTGTTGCTCTCCCATGGGGACTCATCACGGTCCCAGCGGGGCACGGAGCAGCAGCATCTTTGGGGATGGACACTGGACCGTGTCCCACCACGTTTCTCTCTTCGATTTGCTGGGGGTGTCTGCAGGGGTCTTGGGAACAAGCTGGGAAGGATTCTGTTTCCCTGTAACTGACTTTTAACTAGAGCTGGGTGCTCACTGGCCAAGCTCAGACCCCGGAGGGTACCCACATTCCCTGGGCTTTGCTCCTCTGCAGCCCCTCTCTGTTTCCCCACAGCGGGGGCCACTTCATGAGCACCGCAGAGAAGATCCGCCTGCCTGACGACTGCACCATCGGCTACATCATCGAGTCTGTGCTGGGGGTGAAGCTCATCCGGAGCAACCTCTTCCACTCACACCTGGAGAACCTCCACCAGGTGCCCAAGACGGAGATCCACAAACAGGTATCCCTGTCCTGATGTCCTGGGGTGGGTGGAGGGGGTTAGAGTGGACGATGTCATCATCTGGTTTCATGTCACCTAAAAATTGGGCATCGTGGCTAAGATACTGTTTCACATGTGACCAGAATGTCATCAGAGGGAGAAATCCCCATCAGCCCATTCCTCGGGGTGATGCAGAGTGTAACTAGAGGCTTAGAGAAATGGGATGAATTTTGCAGCCCCCTCGCCCTGCTTCATGCCTCTGCTTGATCCTTTTGCCCGCTTGACCCCCTTGCCATGTGCTTCCCCCCACCCCAGGTGACGCTAAGCTACGGCATGTTCGAGAACAAGCGCAACTCCATCCACATGAAGGGAGCCTTCTCCGTCGAGGAGGACCCATCCAGGTGAGATGGGGGGAGCTCTCTCATCTTCCCAAGCCAGGGGGGAGCACAGGGCCACCGCCAGCCCATGCTCAGCATCACTCCTCTCCTCCACAGGTTTCGCTCCGTGCACTGCCTGCTGTACCCCGACACGCCATGGTGCCCTGCCAATGTGGTTTACTAGGAGGCGTGTCCCCTCCAACCTCGTCCCGAGTTTCCCCGGTATCCGACGGGTGTGCGGGACCTGCGTGCGGGTGTGTCAGTCTGGCCTCGCCGCGAGGCGGACGGACGGACGTCGTTGCTGTGGTATTGCACAGTGTGTGTACTGAAGGCTGCTGTGCGGCCCCTTGTCTCCTTGTCCCCTGCCCCGCTGCCCGTGCCCG